ATAACAAATATAGAAATCATTAACAAAGGAAGTTTATAGATAAAAAATAACATAACAAATAGCACTCTACATAAACGAGATGATAAGAATTATTAAAACACTCCAAAAACCAAGAATAGGATAACAAATATAGAAATCATTAACAAAGGAAGTTTTTAGATAAAAAATAGCATAACAAATAGCACTCTACATAAACGAGATGATAGGAATTATTAAAACCACTCAAAAAACCAAGAATAAGCCTAACAAAAAAGATGACCATAGTTTGGTTAAAAATAATGCACCAAATCATCTCAAAATGCAAAATATTCTTAGATAACAGTATGAAAGCTATTGTTTCATGAATTGTGCACAATGCAAACATAAGATTTGTATTTGAGGCTCACCGAATCATACAACAATGTTATCATACCACAACAGCAAGCCAAACACAAATCCATTTGTAAAATAAAATAAATAAATAAATACACAAAACACAAATCCTTCAGGAAAAAAATAAAATAAGAATAAAAATAAAAAATTCATGCAAAACTGATGCTAGGAAACACAAATGAATCCATCGAACTGCTCAATATAACATGCAGGATTATGGTGGCGTATGCAGTTCATTAACATCATTACTCGGAGTTTTGACATTTAAAAAAAAAAAAATTCTCAAGTTGTGAAACAAATTTCATTATTCAACTTAGTTGAAACTCGAGTTGCCGATGGCGCATGCAGAAGTAGCAAACTGATGGGCATGGATACAAGCAAATGAAGCATCAAACTCGTTATTTTTGACAAATTTTCTATTTTAGTTTCAATAATATTGTTTAAAAAATCTCTCAGAAGAATTGGATGGACTATGAAAGAGCCTTCTGAACCTCAACTGTCACCTCTTTCGGGGCTTTCTCTGCGTGCAAGTTAACTACATCACCTTTCTTGGAATAATAAGATATAACCTGCAACATTACAAAAATAAAGCTAATTCAAGCTAGCAAGAGAGTCACACAACAAAACTTTCAAAAAATGCATTCACAATACAGAGAGAGAGAGAGAGAGAGAGAGGAAAACCAATGGAAAGCCACAATTCTCACAAACTGTACATTTTTTTTTCTAAATGTTTAAGCTGCAAATGAACCAACATGCCCAATAAGCCAATCGTAATTCTACTCATTTAGATCTCATTCAAGATTATTTGATCAAATACTAGAGACAAATGAATAAGATTAAGCAATTGTTGCTTCAATTGTTTATGATCCCGAGCAATATCATTATAATTTCGAAGCCCCTTGGTAGATGCAAGTTTAATGTTTGATAATGGCTCATTGCAGACTAATAAGACTAATTAAGTTGATTAGATTACATCAAATACTTGAATAATCTTATTTAGGCTTTAAGATATAATATAATTGCAATAGTGAAATGCTTTTTGTTCAAAAATTAAAAAGTTTAACCCTACTCATTCTATGGCCAGAAGGTGCAATTTGCCTTTCCACATTTAAAGATTGCAACATTCATTCTGCGACGCATGTTACTTGATTTCTCTAGACTCTAGCTCTTACCAAGTCGCCCTATTATTTCCACCTAGCACAGTATAGTGTTGGCAAACAAGCATCACGTGTTAGTTCAGCAATCACCACTTGTTTCTTGTTTCTCCAGCTACTATCACTCTATCCCAATTACCCACACATCTCTTCTTATCATTTAGTCGTTAGGGTTCAGTAAAATTGAGATCCCAATGACGGTTACAACAAATCCGCCTCGAGCCATCTTTTATCTTTTCTAAAATTAAAATATATTTACTAGATAAATAAAAGAATACATCAAGAGCATTTAACAAGAAATATCAAAGCAAAAAAAGTAAAATACAACCAGAAAAATGCTGAAAAATTTGCTGGGATCATTTAGCTTGAAGCATAGTGAAAATAGAATAAAGAATGTGAAATCTTTTATCCACCAATGAGTCAACGTTCTGAATACTCCGATAAAAATAAGATATTTTTTGTGATGAATAATCATAATTATGATCACCAGGGAAAGTGGTTGATGCATTTAAAAAAGTTGTGGATTTTTCTCGGTTATAATATCACGAGATGAGAAAGTAGTTGTCATCACAACATTAGTGGTGATCATAATATTAGCTACTATTTTGTGAACTGACTTAAAATATGGCACCAGGTTTTGAAAACAAACCTTAACAGATGTGGAGGGAAGATTACTCAGCTCGAGATGAGCTTTAAAGCCCAAAGAAAATTTGGGCCCAAAAATATGGCAGAAGCAGCCGAAATATTTTTTCTCAAATTTCAAATTTTACAAATTTTTTCATTATGGAGGCTCAATCTACAACTGTTGATGAATAAACATAGTAATATCTCTAATTCCATCAAGACTAGCTATGGAGGTTCTAGTAAAACAAGTAATTGCAGTATCCACAATTAAAGTTTTTAAAAAAATTGAAGCAAAGAGAACACAAAAAAATTAGTTGAATTAATGCAAAGAAGCCGTGGAAATGAAATCAAAACTTAAGTGACATGAGGCCCCACAGAGCAATCAAAATATGGAGAATATTTTAACATGTGCATTGGGAGGCTATTGATATAGTATATACGCAATAAAAAAAATTTAGTATAATTTGTTACAAAGAAAATCCTTATGATGACGTAACAGAGGTCAAAAAGCTGAACCAAATAGTCACAAAGTAACTATGAATTAGCTATGAACTTGAGAACAACTTTCATGCTAGGATAAGCCATAGAAAAATTTGTCAATACATAAGAGGGCAAAAGGACTTGTAAATACAAAATCTAGTCACAAAGTAACTATGAATTAGCTATGAACTTGCGAACAAATTTCATGCTAGAATAAGCCATAGAAAAATTTGTCAATACATAAGAGGACAAAAGGACTTGTAAATACAAAATTTCGGCATCAAAAAAGAAAATAATAGGCTTCCTTGGAAAGATGCGAGTAATTTATGTTGAGTAATCTCTGACTTCTAAAGAGTGAAAGGTAAAAAATTGTTGATTAAGGAGGTGAAAAAGTCCACAGTATTCAAAACACAAAGAACATTTTCAAATGATTTTATAAAACTCCAAGACGCAACCAAATGCGGGGAAATTTAGCAAGTCAAACAAAGCAGGTTCAGGCACCAAAAATTTGTAAAACAGAGAAAATAAAAGTTCCCAAATACTCATATAATTGTTACTAGTAAACACAATGGCTAAAAAGCTGCTCCAAATGGCCCCTATATCAATTACAAATGCACGATTTCATGCTTTACAAGACAAGTTGAAAATTCAAAAAAGGAAAGTCAATATGATGATTTATTCTCCAATGGACTACCATTATAAGGGTTCAAATTGGTTATAGGGGTCAAAACTCGGTTCAACCTGTAAGCGAAATGAATCAAAAGGTTATAGTAACAGTGACATTTCACAGTTGTAATATATTTATTTCACTAAATTGAATATTGTAAGCGAAATGAATCAAGAGGTTGACCGCTTGTTCTATTTCTTCCTATTAGTTTCCTCTGTTTTGCTGTTTTATCCTTTGCTATAATTTCTCATGGAGCACCAAGATTTGAAAAAAACTGTCAAGTTTACCAAATCAGAAGTAAACATCATGAGAGTAAGCCAAAAAAAAACTGCCATCCCAATCCCTAGATAAGTCCATAGTGATGCATGTTAACAAAAACAATCATTAATGTACTTTGCTATTAACTAAGCGATCTAATAAAAGATTAATATAGATTATAACTAGATTATAACTGGTGTAGAATAGACATAAAGAAGATGTATGAAACAACTTTTTTCAGAATATTCAAATGGAAATGGAAAAAAAAAGAAAAATTGACAAGCATTGAAAAGATGAATTAAAGCGTACAGGTTCAGTTTGTCTGTGAAAAGCTTCAAGCCTCGACTTGAGAACAGCGGCCGTATCATCTTTCCTCTGGATTAGAGGTTCACCAGTGACCTGAAAGAAGGATGACAACAGGTCATTACAGTTAGAATGATGAAAAAGGAAAATTAAAATATACAAGCAACAAAAAACAATGACCCAAAATTATGCATGCATTTTAATGATACAACAACGAGATTCATCAACATAATAAAAACTTTTCAAGGATAGAGTTACACATACAGGATCTAAGAAAATGCATAATATGACTGTGAAAGACAAATCACTAATCAAGAAGGTTATGAAGCATTTATTATCAGAAGAAGATCTAATCAACTAGTACTTATTTCCAGCTAACAATAAAAGCAATGCAACATATCAGTAACAATATTAAAATGGCTATTAAAAAATTATTCACATGTCAGATGTTCGCTGAATCAATTGAAAATAAGATATAAAAAAATGCAAATTGTCATACTCAGAAGTTTATAAAGTATAAATGTAAAATTCTTTAAATAAATTCTACCGTAAAATCTAATTTTAATGAATATCATAAAAAAAACTTTCATTGCATTCTATGATTTAAATCAATCATTTTGATATATAAGAACATATGATAATTCTACTACTACAGCAACAACAACAACAAGAAACAACAACAAGAAGCCTTTTTCTCCATTGTGTCCTATTAAGTGTCATATTTTCATTTAATTCTAACAAATTAAGATTATTTTTAATACAACATGACCAAGTAAAAAATTATGAAATTAGTTCTTGTCCTATTAAGTGTCATGTTTTCATTTAATTCTAACAATTAAGATTATTTTTTATACAGCATGACCAAGTAAAAAATTATGAAATTAGTTCAAGTTTGAATTAAACTTTCCTAGTTTTATTTAAATATTATTGTTCCATTTTACTATATTGGTTAGTGGAAACTCAATTTTTTCCACTGAAATTTGTATGTAAACATGAATAAAGGATCTAGCAGCAGTGGTAGCTTTAATATATTAAAAATAAAATTATAGATACATATATATCAATTAAATTTAAGCATTTGATTCTCATTTTTCACCTTATAGTCATACTGGAAACCGAAACAGAAGGCAGGATAAAATAAAAAAGGAAAAGGGAAGGAAGAATACGAGGAGAAATAAAACAGGAAGAAAAGAAGGCACGAAGGTGGAGCACAAAATTTAGCATGTATTTTCGAAATTTGATTGTGTACAAATACCGCCTGCCACAAGCCGGTGGCGGTCGTGGCCCAAGTGCTGGTAGTGCGCAGTGGCGGCCGCGCCAGGCGACGGGTGGCAGACGGTTGCTATAGCTTGAGGCGATTACTAGAAAAGGTCAGTGTGTGGTTTTTGTGGCCCTGCGGTGGCCCACGTCGGGAGGAGGCCGGTGGCAACAATGGTCGAAGGTGAGTGATTGCGAACGGTGGTCGTCTGGCGTCGGTATAGAAAAAATAAAGTATAAAATACACTCTAAATTTGGTCATATTTTACAACATATTTGGAATTTGGCAGATAAAACGCCAAAATCCGTAAAATCAATACAAACTCAATACAATATACTAGTTTATTTGAAAACCAAATAGCCCCTATAAGAAATTATATTAGACTATGTTGCTTATTTTAATTCTTAAAACTTTTTTATTCTATATTAAAGTTGTTTATTTTGTTGAGTTAATAAGCTCGCCAAATATTATGTTAAATTTAATTCAAGAAAAAGGAAAATACAATATTGAGCTTGAGCAAGAATTAAGTTCAATTATGTGATCATAATTTGTTAAATAACTATTGTAAGGTAGAAGAGTCAATGAAGTGATGTATCAAAATGAAATGTATGTTTCATATAAGAGTCTTAGTGTGCATTAGATGCTCTTTCGACATGTAAAAATGAAATATTTTGGATTGCTTTTGCTTAAATTTCTGGGTTTTTTTTTGGATATTGTTGAAATTCAGAATAATGCGGAATATTTTTGTTGATAAGAAAAGGGGTATAAATAACCCTTACATGAATACTATAATAGGAAAGACAATAAAAATAAATAACAGAATATGAAAGATATAACACCTAATATCTCAAATTAATTAATCCATATTAATTATTTGGAGAGAAAGGAAACAACATAAATCAGGAAAAGAAATAAATCCAATCCAAGAAAATAAGTCTAAAATAGGAAAAGAAATAAAGCTACATTAAGAAATAAATTTAATCTTCATAACTTCTAATAGGAATAAATTATTTCATGATATATTTTTTAACACTCCCCCTAAAAATGAAACATGGTTAAAAACCATATTCAACGTGAATTTGAAAATATCAAATAATAAACGAGGAAGATCTTGTGAAATAAAATTTGAATGCAGTTTCTGCAATGTCTGTAGATAAGAGAAGGACTCCTATAGGTAAAAACAGACTTCTAGTTGATTGTGGTTGTCTTTGATTGCAGTTCTTAGGTGTTTGTAGGCAGGCGAAAAACTCCTACAAATAATGTTGCAAGGGAGTTTGCAAGAAAGTAGACAACCAACAGAAAATGCTGCAGGGTATGGCCTACAGAAAAAAAAATGAAAAGCTCCGGAAATAGGCCTTGCTGCAAGAAAAGGCTTCGGAAGAGGGTATGCATTAGGAAAAGCTCTGGGAGGGTCTGCTGCAAGAAAAGCTCTGGAGGAGGGTTTGCCGCTAGAAAAGCTCCGGAGGACCTGACGTAGAAAAAGCTCTGAAGGAGGGTCTACTATAAAAAAAGCTCCGGTTGAGGACCTGCTGCAGAAAGAACTCCAGTGCATGAAAAGCTTCAAAGGCCTGCAGGTAAGACGGAGGAACGCCTGCAGGGAAAACTGTAGGGTATGGCCAGAATGCCATCTGTGTTATTGCTTATGGCAAGCCTTATGATTCCGGAGCCTCGCAAAGCACCCTGATATCATTCAATAAGATAAAATTCCATCCGCACAAGTAGGCACAAATAGCAGTATCCATATCATTGACAGTTGTTCTGTCAAGTCAGACTCCACAGTACTCCAATGCCATAATTCTTCCAACACCTTCCATCCGCACAAGTAGGCACAAATAGCAGTATCCATTTCATTGACAGTTGTTCTGTCAAGCCAGACTCCACAGTACTCCAATGACATAATTCTTCCAACACCTGAGATTTCATTGAGCCCAAAAATTGAAAAAAAATCCCATTGATCTGCTGCTCCACTTCAAAATGGAAGCACAAAATTATATACTAAAATTGAGTTAACAAATTCTCATCATTATTTGCAAAGCTACATCTTGCCTAAACCAGAACAAAATTTGGATTTCCATTGCAGTGAGGAACTATTTTCTTAAGAAAGTCTGGGCTTGTTTGAAAATCAGCATCAAACAAAGCCACAAACTCGTAGTTCTTCACATAGTCACAACTCATGGCGGATTTGAGGTTTTTTGCCTTAAATCCTGATCGAGATAAACAGTGCTTGTAGATAATATTTATTTCTCTGATTCCATTTGGAAACATTGACTTGCATTAATAGATGCATTCTCTCATCATCTCAGTCGTCTAGAACTTGGATCAAGATCCTATCATTTGGCCAATCAAGTTGACAGACATAAAAAATCGATTGATCATATCTTCTAATATTGGTTGTGTGTTCATTATGTCTCTCTTTAATGACTTCTTAGTACTTGGATCTTTCCCCTCTGCCACATCTTATGAGTAGATTGTCACTAAAAAAACTGGTCGGACATTGAAACTAGAAGTGTTGGATGTGATTGAGAAAGATACAAAGAGCCATACTTCTGATGTTCGTAGAAGAGCATTGGATGGCAAGCTTGTGGAGAAAAACAAATCGAAGCAGAAGAAGGAAGTGAATTTTGTACCAGCTGAGAAGGACAAGAAGGTTTACAGGGAAGAGCTTGTTGTTGCTCTCTTCCTTCTTGTAGAGGAATTTCAACACCGACGGGAAGGAGATCCGGATGCAATTTCAACACCGATGGGAAGGAGATCCGGATGCAGCGAAACAATTGCAGGAAGTAACATCTCCACTAAGGAAGCTTGCAGGAATTTGAGCCCCGCTGAAAGTTTTCGAGAGAAGTTTCTAGCAGATTGGGCTTGCAGGGAGAGCAAGTTTCCAACAACGTTAAGGCCTACAGGGAAAGTGTTTTGGTGGCTAGTTCCTGCAAGGAGTTCTGGTGGCTAGGTCCTGCAGTGAGAGGAAGTTTCTGACGTCTAGAGCATGCAAAAAGAGGAATTTTCCTATGGAAAAACTGAAAGGAGTAGACGAAGGAAGGGCCTGCAGCACGACAACGACTGCCGGCTATAGGGAATAAGAAGTTTCCATTGACAGATGTCTCTAGGTTTTGTTTCAAAGCTCTGGTACAATGTTAAAATTCAGAATAATACGAAATATTTCTATTCATATGAAAGGGGTATAAATGTCACTTACATGAATCCTAGAACAGGAAAGATAATAAGAAGAAATAACAAGAAAGAAAAGATATAACACATAATATCTCCAATTAATCAATTCCTATTAATTATTTGGAGATAAAGAAAATAACATAAACTAGAAAAACCTAAAAATAGGAAAAAATAAATCCAATCTAAAAAAATATTCTTTAATGACTTCTTAGTACTTGGATCTTTCCCCTTTCTTCTGCCACATCTTATGAGTAGATTGTCACTAAAACAACTGGTCGGACATTGAAACTAGAAGTGTTGGATGTGATTGAGAAAGATACAAAGAGCCATACTTCTGATGTTCGTAGAAGAGCATTGGATGGCAAGCTTGTGGAGAAAAACAAATCGAAGCAGAAGAAGGAAGTGAATTTTGTACCAGCTGAGAAGGACAAGAAGGTTTACAGGGAAGAGCTTGTTGTTGCTCTCTTCCTTCTTGTAGAGGAATTTCAACACCGACGGGAAGGAGATCCGGATGCAATTTCAACACCGATGGGAAGGAGATCCGGATGCAGCGAAACAATTGCAGGAAGTAACATCTCCACTAAGGAAGCTTGCAGGAATTTGAGCCCCGCTGAAAGTTTTCCATCCGACAGAGAGGATTTACAGCTGCTACGTACTTGCAGAGAGTTCTGACGGCTAGTTCCTACAA